AAAATGCTTATTGTCGATAAAATAGGAAATTCTGTATTTTCACTTTATTGCTTCATTGCAAGAATTAAAAATGTTATCAACTTATTCTTTATTAGTTTTGCTTAATTGTCCTGCATTCACAAGAACAGGAAACTTACCTCCAAGAAATTTTCTTAAGTACCTAGCAAGCTTCTTTGATGTCATCTAAGAGGGCTTTTCAGGCCTCTTTAAGGCAAAATTGTAAATTAGCAATAATAATTCTGCCGAAAATCTTTATTCTCTTCACAAACTCATCAACAGCGGATCAATGATAAAACTATCGGGTGAATATTAAGAAAAAGGGATTCTTGATCACTCTAGCCTCTTTGTCCCCTTCAAAAGGAGACGGACATTGATTTATGTTGGTAGTTGGATGAAGATTTTGTAAAAATCAATTCTAAACCAGGCACTTACCGTATAGTCAAAAAAATTACTTCTCCAATCGGAAGGCCTCAAATTAGAATGCAACTACGATTTTTGCAGATGAATTCCATACAGATCTACATATTGACGGTGTAAGTCGGCAATCACATAACTCGGTTTGCGACGTCGCAGACTTCCTGTCATACTTTATTTTTTTAACAGAAAACTACTCACCGGTAATTCTTTAAAACTACCGTGATTTTTCTTCTCTGTGAGAGGAAAATTCTGCAAAATATTCAAGGCATGTTGTCAATTTGTTCTCCTTTAGGAAAATAACATGGAGGCGGAGATTTTCAGACACTGCAAACGAGTTATGTGATTGCCGACTTACACCTTCAATATGTATCTCATCCTTTTAAAGAGAACCAAGACTTTGACAACAAGTTGTTTCCAAATAGCTACCTATGCGAGTTGATAATTCTAAAAGACTGATTAAAAGTATCAATTTTCTAAGCTCCTTTGCATTCCATTAGCTGAACCTAGTGCCTTTTTCCTAGAAAGTCACCGTGCAAAAGCTCCCCCTTTCCCTGATGCCTTGTGGGGGTAAATGGATTATGTATTTGAAAGATATCACAGATTAAGGAGTCAAGTGTTGCTTTTATATTTTGAGGGAAGCGTAATTAATTTGAAAGAATTTTTTCAAACTTGTGGCTCAAATAAACTTTTAAGACTGCAACTGAGCACTTGCATTCAATTACTTCACTTTGTATGCCTGCAGATGAGTCTTACTCTAAATGACTGCTACACTGCAGACAAGCTCCTTTGTCTATAGTATGCGCCCTTTTTCAATATTTCCTAAAAATTATTACAACTAATAAATATTTGAAGCATTTTTTCTCTCAGTCAACATCACTTATGTCGGTTGTTATGACTGTTACAAAAGACAAAAGTTTAGAAAGTCCTAAAAAGTGGTCACAAAAGTACGCAGGTATATAAGTAATCAGGTAATTTAGACTAAATCTGTCTTAAAATCGTTAGTGTGAGATTTTAATTTCACTAAATTGATATTCCTCAATAAAAAATTTCTGTCACCAGTGATTTTAAAGTGGAACCAGTTAGAAATGTAAATACCAAAACAAACAGAAAAAAAGAGAGAGAAAACGCCTTCAATTTGACTGCACGTAACCCTGCATTGCACAAAAGCAGCGATAATTGACGTGTCCAACTAAAGCCATTTACAGGAGTTCAGGGATCGCTTTGTGATGGTAAAATTTAGAAATCTACACTGTGAGATCGTGGATGGCGTTATTATTTCCTGAAAATATAGGTAATCATTTTTTGGTAGATTTTAATCAAATATCTGATGAAAAATGAAGTGATATCCCACAAAAAAAACCCTTGGGAGGGTGCCATTTGGACGGCAATGAAACTAGAGAACTTGACCGTCCCGATTTTACAGATAAACATACATGACATAAGAAATCGGGACGGCAATTAATTCTAGGGGTTGTCTCATACTGGCCAGCCGTTTTTCTTCCCCTCAGAGGTTGCTCCATCCATGTAAAGTGATACCATCAGATCGGAACAGCAAATCAATGAAGCTTGGATATATAGGAAAAAATAAAAAAATTGCTGTCCTGCTGCAGAAATTTTTGATAAATTACTTTAGCATTGGGTACCATTCCTATGATGGGTACCTATTGGGATCTACTTTTGATTTAGCAGAAGTCAAAATAATTACTTTAAGTTGATAAAATTGCAGAAGTTGCTCATTTTCTGCGGCATGACGGCAATTTTTTTATTTTTTCCTATTTTTCCAAGCTTCATTGATTAGCTGTTCCGATCTGATGATATCACTGTAATGTCATAGCAAAAACCAGAGCAACTTCTGAGGGGAAGAAAAACGGCTCGACCACCATGGTGGTCGAGCCAGAATTAATTGCCGTCCCGATTTCTTATAGGTATCATGTATGTTTATCTGCAAAAGCGGGACGGTTAAGTCCTCTAGTTTATTGTCGTCCAAATGGCACCCTCCCAAGGGTTTTTTGTGGGATAGTATCATACGAGATTGAAGGCACTTCAACGCACCATGCTCGATGGCTTCTTTCAAGAGCACGATGTTCCCTCGCAAATTAAATCAAGTGATGACGACAAACAGGGAGGGGTAGTCGAAAAACTTACCAATTCCTGGTATCCGCATTCAGTAACGTTTCACATGATTTTTGAACTTTAGTAGAGGAAAAAGTGACTTGATTCAAGCAGAATTATGCTCAAATTTACCGCCGAGAAGATTTTCTTATGAATTAATGAAGAAAATAATGCTTGTATAAAGAAGAAAAGATGCTTTTACAAAAAGAAAAGTCACATCAAGCAGAAAGCCGCTTTTATTCAACTATTTTATTCTTGATTCAAAATAAAATCTTCTTGACGGTAGCTTGACGTCATCATATTTTCATCCATGCCTACAGACCTAACAGGGATGCTTGACGCATTACGCAATGCGGGAAGTATCACTGTTAGGTTTTTAGGTGCCGCGTAATGCGGGAAGTATTTCTGTTGTAGGCGCCGCGCCAGTGCGCGTTTTGCGCTGGGAGCTGGGAGCACACCGCTCCACTGTGTTAGGCTCTAATATTTAAACTTGCAGAGTCAGTGGTTTTCGTCTCATGATTTTGAAACGTTTGCACACTCTGCATGGATTATTCTCATTTAAATTGATGTAAAAAAATGTATTAAAGGAAAATATAATGTGTGTTTTGTAAATCTTAAGGTGGCTCCGCGTCAATCTTAAAGATTTCCAAAGCACTTTAATTTTTTCTTTTGTATTTAGTGCTTTCACTGTGCTACGGCAAGGTGTACCTGCGCGAAACCAAACGCTCAAAATTGGACGTATTTTGCTTTAAAAGATCAATGTACTAATGAGTCAAAACCGAAAATTGCGTGCTTCTTGGTCTTTTCTCTCTTTTATTCATTTTTGTGTAGGTAGTTTCTTTCAACACAACTACAACTCATTGAGATCAATATCAATGCCATCGCTTGGAGAAGGTTTTATAAATATTTGCCACGTTTTAAAAATGTAATTGTTTTTGATATAAAGTGATAGTTTTATTTAAAAAAAAAAGTATTAATAAGGTATATTTTATAGGTATTGAAAATTTTAAGGACAGAAATAAAACCAAATATTCACCAATGACAATTTCAAAAGATGAATCAAAAGAAGAAAGTAACATTTCATTTAAAAAATGAGTTTCCATAACAACACCTCGTTCGCTCTCAATTTTTTCAGTATAATTTTACATATGGACTAAAATATAACGCTTGGACAAGTCACTGTTTCTTATTTTACGTATAGACGTAAACAACTGGACAAAACAGGTATGCGGACAAAAATTCGTTGACGGAATGTCCTGAAACCGTTTCACTTGAAATTACTAATATCTCAATTTTTTCAAAAACAGCACTTATGCGCCTTGTCCTCCAAGCCTCTCGACTTGACTCAATTCAACTTTTTTCTAAAGAGCTGAAGTCATTATTCCAAGTCGTAACTCAGAAACCATGAGTATGTTGATCCTCTAAGTACAAAATATTCTAAAAGGGCTTACATTTAGGGGAAAAGTAACCCTGGGGGTTTTCATGATAACAGGAATACTGACGTGCTAAGGAAAAATGCCGTATGAGCCTTCAGGCGTTGCCAGATTTCCTTCAAAAAATCACTATTTTCCAGGAAAATTTTTGAATATTTTTCTCCCAATTTCTCAGATCATTTTGTTTGAGATTTGATCTACTTAGAGTGTCTGAAAATTTCAAGGAAAAGTTTTCATAACTTTTCTCAAAAACAAACATTTTATCTGAGGACATTTGGCAACTCCCAAATGTTCATGCGGCGTTCTTCCTTGGCAGGGCAGAATAGTTCGAATGTGCAACATTTTAAATTTTAAAGGATGCACATTTTTGCCAAACTTCATTATTTTTATGAAACTTCCTTTCTCCACCTTAGACACAAAACATTTTCACCTAGATCCAGCTAACAATTTTTAACAAACAAGACGCATCCAAATCTCCACTTATCCACTTGGCGGTCCCATCAAATACAGGGCACTATCAGATTGTGTCGGAAATGTAACTGACAGAGCGTAACAGACACTCTAAAATGAGGTGCATGAAGATCAAAGCACATCAGTGCAGTTTTTGCTTTTTAAAAAAAAACGTGTTTGAAGTTAAATGGAGCCTCGAGGCGAAAAGAAAGTTTTAACTCCCTTTTTAATGTATAAAAATTTATTTCATATTTTTATTTATGTATTTCAAGACTAGTGTCAGCTGAAATCTATAATAACTCAATTTGTTCAAAACTTCCACTTCTGCGCCTTGTCCTTCAAGCCCCTTGTATGGGTAATAGAAGATACAACAAAAGAAGAAAATGAGTAATCCTCATCGTTCTAGTCACACAACTGCTTCAGAGATTTCCTCCCAGTTGAATTCTATTAGATTGAGAATTCAGGGGGCTGAGAAATTAGTGCACATCAAATTAACTGGTTTCCTTCCAGAATAAAATTTAACTTTTAATAAATTCAACTTACTAAGAAACTTTAGGTGGGAGGAGGTGGTAGAAAAAAATCAAGCAGTTACTTTTGGCTTATTTAATATCGAAATAAATTAATATGGTACAAAATAAATAATCACCTCATTTGACAAAACAGTTTTGTTAAAAGTTTCAATTCAGCATCTGATCAAACTTTTACGTTATGTTACTTAAATTAAGCAACTGTATTCAACAGTTAGGGTACGGCTTTGAAAATTGCAGACAGTTGCAACGTAATTCAGTAGAATAAATTGACTATCTATGATTCTAAGTATTCACAAATTTTCAGTAAAAACTAATTTCAATGATTCTATAACGCGATGAAAGCATCATTAATTTTTCTCACTGGTATCACAAAGTAAAATTTTTCACCAGTAAGATCTCATTTAAGAAATCTTAAACTGGGATGCACCCGAGGAAGAAGTGATTTGAGGTGAGTTGCCAAATTTTTCAGGAGTGCAACAAATCACAGTTTTGGTCATATTTATTGATTATGCGTGGTTTTCTATGCTAATCAATTCTTTCACATCTCAAAAACATGTTGTTGAAATTTTAAAAAGTAGATTTTGGGGGTTTTTTTTTTACGATTTTTGCTGCAAATGATTCAGAATTAACCCTTTAATTTGAAAATACATTCATCCAAATTTTTATTTTTTTCACCTCAAGTCCTTTTTTCCTCAGAAGCATCACAATTTGTTGGAAGATACATTAATGACAATGGGGCAGATTGAGAAGGATACACGGAAAAAAAAAATTGCTGAAATAACATCCCTGATGTTTAAAATCTGTGCAACAACTCTTGAATGTTGTTATGGACACTCTGGCTGTTAAAGTGACATCCTAGCTACGTTGAATTAACAACCGTAGCATTCATATCAACATTCAAGAGTTGTCGCGCAGATTTTTAACATCAGGGATGTTACTTCAGCACTTTTTTTTTCCGTGTAGGATGGGAGATAGAGAAGTATCGTACTTCTTAAGGAGAAATCTTCCTTTACGCTGAATGCGCTTCTTACTTAAAAAAACTGTGCATTAAAAAATTCTAAGATATTCACACTAAGTTTTCCCATACAACCGGTCATCTCACATCCTTGTTAGAAATTTTTATGGTTTACACATAGAGTGTACTTTTACTTCAAAATTAGTTTATGACCGGTAGGAGTCAAAGAAATTTTTACAAAAAAATCCTTTCACATCAGAATACACAGGAGTGCAAAAATCAACCACATACTATGTAAACAGTTTTTGTTATTTTCCGCATAATTTCCTGCATATAGTATTGATAAAATGACAATACGTACAATTGATGAAATGTGGTCGGCACCTTTCTGTGACTTGCTTCTAAATTCTCTGCTAGATTTTCTGATTCTTCATCAAAGCGACAAAATAAAAGAATATAAAAACATAATCAATACTTTTTGTAGACCTTACTTCATCTCATCATAGAAAGACACTGATAAAAAATTACTGATCATTTGAAAGGCTCAAAGGCTGACTCACCCCCTTCTCTCAGTCCTTAATTTGTCTCATTGAAGAAAATACAATAATGTTCTAATGACGCTCTGATGATATGTACGTCTAAAATAATGGATACATTTTCATCAAATTAGTAAGATATTCCATAATTTAAAGGCTTTTGTAAAGGTTCCAGAATTCTGAGAGTGGACGTTTCCTTGACAATATTAGACCGTGTAGGATCATAAAATGTTCTTGATCTATAATGCGCATTCAGGGTAAACTGAAAGTCATTATTGGTCCATCGTACTCAACGCTGCTAAAGCATCTGCTAATCTGATTAGTTCTCCTTCAGATTGGCCCAGTTTTTCTGTATTCGCAGCCTGTACTCCTTCAGGAACTTTTGTGCTATAGTCAGGAACTGACATAGACTGTTTCAACTTAGAGATAGTTTGTTCCAAACTCTCCTGTTTTTTCTTCAGTTTTTCAACCTCTTTTGAGACATCTATGAGACCCTGAAAAAAATTAATGAATAATTCTTATCATACTTGGCACTTGATCAATTCATTAAAAAAAAATAGTAAAAACTGTCAAATTTTGAAAAAAAGATTAAATTAAAAAACTAACACATTTACTGAGCTTTCAGAACGCGTTATAGTGGCTCCCTTAGCAATCAGAGTCAGCTGATGATAGTGGCCAAGGCAGCCATCGAACAACTTCTGAAAAATACCTCCTTGAGTGGGGGCGTGAGTTTCATGATTTAAACATTTTTTAAAATTATTATTAAATTTTAAGTTACCAACTTGTCAGAACCAACACTGTTGATAGGTCAGTAAAATAAATAAATTATTCAACAGCTGCTACTCAACCTATCAGGTAATTTCGCCCTTTTTTCCTATTTAAAAGTTGTTTAGGAGAATATCGTAGCAAATCAAAATTATTGAACATCTCTGAACATTGTTAGACACGAACTTGTTGAGTTAGCCCTTCACGGAACAAAGGGACTGGACATCAGACACCCAGCAGACAGCACCAGCACAGAAAACTAATGAATACAATTTAGGTTTACTAGAGCTCTTTTCCAGAGATATGCTGATCGTTTTATCAATGAATTTCAATTTAGTGATCTGGTAGAGAGATTTTTATTTTGCAAAGCTTTCTTCTTGAGTAGACCTACCACCAAAGAAAAGTACTCTCACAGCCTCTTTTCACCATGTATTCCTTACTCTCACCGTACGATTATCTCGTAAGTGCATGTTGCTTTATAGCTCTTCTCGGCTCTAAGAAACGTAAATGCCACTGACACCTATTGAGCCACAATGTCTTAAGTCCATAGTTTAGTCATACAAACAAGTAAAAGGTATCAATAATTAAGAGCTAAAATGTAACCAACAATTTTAGAAAAATAACGTCATTTGCATTCTCGGCATAATTACTAAGAGATCTAGACGTGTAAAAATAATGGTAACGATATCCAACAGCAGGCCCCAGATTAAAGGTTCTTAACTTTCAAAATATTCTGCAGGCAATAAAGCTGTTGCAAAGTTTTCCCCTGATTTCTGGAAACCATGAAAATCTAGATACAAATCTACTGCCCTTAACTGCAGATGTAGACTGTTTGTTACTTTAAGGTAAAAGATATAAGCCACTTTAAATAAAACATAATGCACGCACACACCTTGAGAGAGAGATGAATTTGGCATCTATCCGAAACAGTAAGAATGGCACACCCAGCCGGAGGAGCCTGAGATGTTTCCAACTGGCTGCACAGAGCCAATTTTTGCACCACCAATGAGAACTTTTCTATGATGTTTTTCACGCTATCTGACGTGCAAACAGCATACGCTAAAAAGGGAAAAAAGGGCAAAAAGTTTATTTTCAGAAATATCTAAACACTAAGAATAAACCTGCTAAATTGTCCATTGCAGGAAATGCAAAAAAGCTGGTAAGATTCAGGATTTCTACAACTTTTTTCGTTCATGCGGGCAACGAGTCTGTTGCAAGCAAGGGGTGTGGGCAAGTGAATGGACTATCTATAGATAACATTACATAGAGATTACAATGGACACCTAAAAGAAGTCTGAAATTCACTCGATAGCGCGTTCGCACTTTTTTAACATTTTCTGCGTCTCTAACAGTTTTTCTATTCCCCAAAGACCAGGTTTGCCCAGAGAAGGATGTAAGAAAACCTAACTTTCAAGCTTCCTTTTTCTCCTTATTTCTTTGTTTTGCACACACGGACACAAACACCAACTCACACACTAAAAAGCTTTTAATCATACACAAAGAAATTTTGTAACAGTTAGCAAGATTGTTTGTTTGTTCGTTTGTTTCTTTAAGCTTTACTTGTGTCTCTCTCTAGACAAGCCTGATTGCTGGCCTCTTAGAAACATAGCCCACAGACGCAGGAAATTTGAAAAAGTGTGTTACAAACCACGCAGATTGCACACTTAGGACTGACTGCATATCAGACTTTTTCATTCGCTGATCGTATATTTTCTTCAAATTTCCAGGAGAAAAGTTTCTGTATTTTTGGACTGTCTCTATATTTCTAGCGAGCAACTCATTCATAGTTATAAGAAAGGCAGAGAATAACAAAATGGGGCAGTTTATCAGTCTAATTACATTTTGTAGATTATAAATGAGGATTCATGACATTTTTTAAAAAATAAAATCAAGCATTATAAAAAAATTTCAAGAGTTCACATTAGGAAAGTCAGACTTTCTGGGATCTTTTAAGGATTACCAAAACAATTTTCTAGTACTTCCTGGAGTACGTGAAATAGGTTTTAAGCAGAATTGGGAAATAGTTATTCGGAAATTATTTGGTCAATTAGCAACGCCCGATCAATCATCAATCAGACAAATAATATGACGATTGATCCATCTTATCAGGTAGAGAATTCTGAGGACCAAGCGTCTGGTCAGAGTTGCCGCACCAATTTCAATAATTGCCGAATTATTCCTGCCCAACTCTGATTTTAAGGCCTTAAAGAAAGTTTACTATTTATATATTTATTCCTCTACCAAGACAGAAAGACAAAAACAATGTGATGAACACACAATGCAATTTCAGTTTTAGGAAGTCTTTATGCCAAAAGAGAAAAAAAACTATCTTCAAGACAATTGAAATACCCAAACGATACAAAATTTAGAGTATTTCAAGAACTTTTGTATAATTTTAAAAAAAAGTATATTTCCTTTGCAAAATACACTATAAATTTAGTATATTCAAGAATTTCTCAACCCTGCAATCGTGCCATTCATTTTCATGACCTTCTTCTAACATTTTTTAAAAAAATGCAGATTACCTTCGACTTTTGCAGACTTTGCAAGGTTGTAGTCAGAACGAGCCGATCGAATACTGTGAACAATTTTCTGCATGAATTCTACCTCTTCCTCTAGTTGCACATCACGGAATTTATATTCCTCCTGTGAGCAAAATAAAAAGTATGGTTACATTGCTAAAAGTTGGAAAAAATCAGTACTTGGATATTACTTTATAGAAGGATAACTTACTTCTATGATTTCCATTCATTGCATTAGGATTATTCTAAATTAAAGTGAAAAGAGCAGGGAAAGAAATATTAAGAACACAAGTAAAACATTCCTCTCGGTTGGAAACGTTACAAACGAAAATACGCCACTTAGTTTTCACCACTATCTTTGGAGGAAAAACTATCACAGATTATCTGTGATTTGAATGCATATCAATGGCAGAAGTTGAGAAATGCATATCTCATATTGCGGCATTACAAGTCTCCGCTCATGTTTTATTTTTTAAAGGAAAAATATTGAGCGAACAGCATCTATGTTGGCCTTGTAAGCCGACGTTACAAAAAGTTTGCTCAACTCATCTGTGAAAATCCCCTTGTCTCAGAGACATTTAATGACCCATTGCTCCTGTGGTAATAGATGGTACTAGTAGAGACATTCTTTGAAGAAACGATGTATAAAGGAATTTTAAGTTTCGAGAAAAAAGATGATGAAGTATTCAAAAGCATATATTTTTGGAACCACTGCTCCAATTTTAAAAATCTAAAGAAATTTAGGAAGAGCAAACTATCGCTAATCATTGTGCAATATTTCACAGGGCTGGTGCATGAGAAGCAGGGTCACAGCAGTGAAATGTCTCTCCATTTATACGTCATTTCTTCAGCGATCGATTAATTCTCGTGCTTACATTCTGATTAAAATGAAATATCTGGAACCATTTGAAGGGGAAAAGGAAAAGTTCAAATGGGTTTAGGTTTACCTTGTGTTTGTTGGAAACAAGACAAAAAAATTAATTCCTGTCAAGATCCTCACTGCCTGAGTCACCAGTCGATCAAACAGATCCAAGATATGATCACAGCAGCGTCGGCGCGGCATGCCGCTACCTTTATCGCCGCGCCGGGCGACAAAGTTTCTGCACAGCGAGGCAGAGATATGCCTCATTTTGCCTTACTCATGTGTAATAACACACATAAACCACATATATTCCTAAAGACAAGATCATGGCGCTTCAAAATCTGCAATCTCCAGAAAAAGTACATAAAACGGGTACACGTCGTTTCTACAAAGAATGTCTCAATTGTTAGACAACAGATTAAGTAACTAAAAATATCTTGCTTACAGGTTCAGGGTAGGAGGCAACGCAAATACTGGGGGCTGGATTTGGCAGTGGAAGCCTTTGATAAAGCTCCTCAGTTATAAAGGGCATAAAAGGTGAAAGTAACCTTAAACCCGTGTCTAAACACAAAAGTAGGGTTTCTTGTGCAGCCGCTATACTTGCTGGCGACCCTGATGCAAACACTGGTTTCACTGATTCCTGGAAACAAATGAGGAATTCATGGTTTAAATGATCTTAAATCCTCCAAAAATGCGAGTAAGGTAAAGGAAAAAGAAACCTATTTTCATTAAGCTGGCGGACTATGGAAGCAACCTAATTTTTTTTTCTTTTTTTTTTTTTGTTTATTATCGCTTGAGTATGTAAAACAGATACATTTTTTCACTTACAACCTAAAATAAACGGCTATTCCTAAGTCCCTCTTAGCTTGTCCCCTCATTTCCATGCTCTTGACTAAAACAACAAAAAAAGGCTGCTGCCTTTTTCCTTCCCTCATATCTCGGTTTTAATTACACGCAGAAATACAAGGTAGATTTACACGGGTATGGACAGAACTAAACAACTGGCCTCTGATTGGCTCTCCAGAGGCCCCTTAACATCCGCCATTTTGTATGTTTTGATTATTTTGATTTATTATGTTCGGTTTATCGTTTCTCAAAATTTTGTGGGATTTTTTGCACAATTTTGATGATGCGATATTAATTTAAACGTTTAAACGCACAAACATTTGCATGTTAATTTGATTGTAATTTAATTAAAAAACGGGCCCCTTAACCTACGTCACGTAGTCATGTGACACGTACTGAGGCTCATGGAAAATTTTCAACTTGTCCATACCTGTGTAAATCTACCTTGCAGAAATACAATTTTTGTTGGATTAACATACTGGGATGTTAAAATCTGTGCAACAACTCTAAGAGTGTTGCTATGAACGCTCCAACTGTTAAGTAACATCCTTATGACGTTGGAGTAATAACTGAAACATTCAAATCAATATTCCAAAGTTGTTGCGCAGATTTAAAACATGCTATATATTAGTTCAACAATTTTTTTTTCCATGTAGCTCCGGTTGTCAATTGATTACAATCTGCCACAGAATATTCTTCCAAAGTTGACAACATTTCATATAAAATTGGATAAATCTCAGTCTTGACTCAAAAAATTTAGACTTAATCTTGAATATCACCTCAACAAAGCTTTTTATTCCACTTCGGCTTGCTTGACAACTTTTTTTCATTCCTTAAAATAGAGTTTCAATCAATCTTGAGGCCTTAATGCTCTACAGAGTGTTTAATTCTCTGTTTGTGAAACAATGAATATAACAAACAAAATTAATTACCAAATAGACATCACATAAATCGTAGAGCCAAAGGTTGTAACATGCTGTAGTAATGACATTAAATTCATATTTCACGAAAGATTCATTGCAAGTCTGAACTGCGTATGCTAATCTGCTTTTGATCCACTTGTCCATAACACTTTCAGTTTTATCCGAGCTCTGGAAAGGAAAGGAAACATGTGGATTAAAAGAATAAAGTGTAAAAAGGTCAGTGCATGGTAAAAAATATTTTTCCATAAAGATTAAAATTTTAAAATGGACATCACATATTACGATGATTCATCAACTACTGACCTAGGTATGAGATAAAATTATTAACGTCAACAATTCCTTCACAAAGCAAAGTTTACAAGAACATGACTTGAAATTTTTAAGTGAAAAGAAATATTATTACTTAATATAGCTGATTTTCAGAGACTCCTCCAGTAATTTTTTAATTGGAATGTCCATTAAATTATTCATAGAAGTGAAGTTATCAACAAAAATATTTGACTTTGACACTCAAAAAAAGGAAGCAAAAAGCGGTGACATTTGTTAATACTCACCTGCACATTTCCTGGATGCCCTCTGAGCCTATTAATGAGACGAAAACAGGTGAGACAGGCTTGCCGTAACAGTTTCCGTCGCACCAGTAGATTCAATTTCAAAGGACAACCAGGTGATGTGTGAGTGAGAAACTTAATCTCACCGCACGCCATTAGTAAAAAGCAAAAACTTAAAACTTTAAAACATTTTTGCTCAACAGCTGACAGCAGAGAGAAATTTTGATTCAACAGTAGAGGAGAGCATAAAAATATTACACAACATCTTTACTAAGAGAGTATGAAAAATCATATTGAAAGCGAAGAAAATCTATGGTTTGTATTGGGCATGAATGTTTTTTTCTTACTTTTTTCTATCAATTGCTTCATTTATAAAATATTAATTTTTTTAAAAAAAAACAATTCATAGTATTTTTTTCCAATTTTTATCAATGTTAAAAAAAAGTCATTTCCTCTTAGAAATAAACATTTCCTGTAGTAAGTTCATTGAAAGTTGTTTTTTAAGCTGAATGGATAGTGTTAAGACAAATACCAAACAGAAGAGGACTAAACAAAAGTAAGCAATGAATAAAAATAGAAAATTTCTGAGTAGAAATTGGATTTTTAGAAAGTGCGCATGAAGTTTCCCACTGAACCCTATCAAAAAAAGACTTTGGACACATAGTGTATATAATTCATTCACCTCGCATGAAAAGTTTCCCCCATATGTATTTAAAGGTGGACATAAAATTAAAATTTAAAAAAAACTGTAACGCCGAAAAGCTGAGTAATCAGCAATAGCAGAAATCATCTTAACCATGATGGCTAATCTACTGCTTTCATGCAAATAATGATGTTAAAGGAGACTGAATACTCACATGTACTAATGAGCCTGTTGCAAACTTTTGCTAGAGCAAAAATAAGAGTTGTTACTCATGGAAAGTGTCTCAAAAATCATGATGACCGCATCGGATAAGTCTGAGATGCACTCCTTACTTCACCATTTGCGTAAGAAATTTGCGTTCTTTTGAGCTTCCCGCTTCAAAAAACGATACCACGGCACAGGTGAACATTTTGTTAGAGTAGTGATTCCATCCAACCTTGCTCACAAGGATACTACGCAATATTCAACAGCCGACGCCAATCTGCCAAAACACATGTGACGGGACGATGATTCTAACCACCTGATAACAATCAATGTGTTTATATTCACATTTTTCTCGCATTGACAGATATTCGCTTTGATTGACCTTGTGCTCTCCTCAACTTGCGCACAGAAGTGTCGGCCATGTTGAGCAGGGATTGAATGGAACTACTCCTTTATGGAAATGTTCATCTGTGCTGTAGAATCCTTTTTGAAGCGAGAATCTTAAAAAAACGCAAATTTCTTGCGCAGATTGTGAAGTTAGGAGTGCATTTCAGAGCTTGCTGATGCGCTCATCCCGATTTATTAGACATTATCTATAAGGAACAACTCTTATTTTTGTTGCTCTAGCAAAAGTTTGCAACGGGCCCATTTTCAATATTCTAAATTTTACAAAAAAGAGGACACACATGCATCAATTTTAATTCAAGCAGCTGGAGCACAAGACACCCAAAATGAAAAGCCGAGCAAACTTACAATACTGCTGCCCACTGCTTTGCTCCTAGCACCATGACTTTGAGTTCCCACACAGACACCATCACCAGAAGAAGAAGAAGAAAATAGATTCGACAGAGATTTAATATGTTGATGCCACCGAAAAAGATGTGGATACTGATGAGAAGAGATTTTAGTATTTTTCAGGGACGTCAATAAAATTGTATCTAGTTCACACAAGGAGTAACCATCAACATAGCTGTAAAGCTCGAAATAGCTGTTGAGCATTGATACGTCGGACTGATTTGACTGGACGGAGAGAGACTTTTTACACTTCTCGATAATTTGTTCAAATCGGTTTTCTGTTTCACAACTTACTTCAGTCTTTGGCTTATCGTTGAAGTACATAAGGGCAAATTTGACAGCATTCCAAAGCTTGTTACAGAAGAAACGATATCCTTGCACCCGCAGGATGTCCAAGTTGATGTCTCTACCTGAAACAAAGAGGATATGGAGGTTTTTAATTATTTTTACAAAGTCAACTTCAACATGCACACTCTTTCCTTTTGATACTGGACACAATTTGACTGGAGCTAAACAAACAGTCACATCTATGTCACAGTGGTTCAATAACTCATCTCCTATTTAAAGTTTTTGGAAGCTAAACAACCAAGATTTTTGCTTGAAATTTTGTGGCAATAACTTTCATGCAGGCAAGATATAATGCAACAATTTTCAAGTTGGAGTTTGGTTTGTTTCCTTCCAAAAAATTAAAACAGATCAGATTTTAAAAAACTTAAAATTGGATACAACTATTTTGCTTAACTCTATCCGTTTATGCAAGTGACGGAACCAGTATTTGGACAATTTTTGCATTAGGTCAAATTGTGCTGAATATTCAAATTCGGATTTAGTATTACAAGTATGTACTCAAACCTAAATGCGTATATTTCTCAGTTTAAGTTATCTACAGTTTCCCAAATCTTTTTTGTACCAATAGTAATGTTTCTTCGACTTGAACGGCGTGAACAAAACTACTGCTGTGACAGAGACTTCTTCAATTGTTTCGCAAAAAGAAATGAGGAGAAAGGTAAATGTTTCCTAACCCGAGAAGTAGAACTCAAAACAATCTTACAAAGTTTTGAACATATTCAGATTTCTATTTAATAAATTTTAAGAGGTTTTCGTTTTGGTGATCCAAAAGTAAAAATCTTGGATACACATTTGTGTAAAATTTTCATCAAACGCTTGGACAGAAATAGTAGAAATGAGTTTAGCTGCATTTCACGCTACCTTATTTTCTCTTAAGTTTTATTTTTTTAACAGACAACAAAACTACTGAATGCCTTAAAACTCTCTTTGAATTTATCTTAAATGATGAAAAATATGTTGATAAAATTTAAAATTTTCTGTTTAAGAAAATAAAACATTGGAAAAGTAGGCAACGTAGATCAACTGATTCCGATCAAATTCGTTCAATTGGACTACATTTTACAACTGGGAACTAGAAAAATGTATAACTTAGGTCAGGAACAGGGTATGTACTATTGTTTTCCCTATGCTCAAAAGTTTTTTTTTACAAACGAGACAGAAATTGTAGTTCTAATTAGCAAAATGTGTTCCAATTCATTGTAGTTCGCTTTCCCTCATGAATTTCTTTACGTAACACTCAAGACACATCTTTAGAGGTTACTTCAAAAATTTTCTCTTTAAATTTGTATTCAGCCCTCTATCATTGCAATTCCTATGATGTATCAAATATTGACGGCAAAAAATCATTACTGAATTACAAATGGACGGCTTCAACCAGGATAAGTCTAACTGCATTTCCCATTGCCTAATTTCCCCTCAAATTTTATTACTTTGACAGAGAGCCAATACGTGGCCAAGGTGGTGATTTTACAAGTTGGCAACACTGTTTTCCTGCCATATACATCCATTGAAAATATCGATTTTAGGTGAGGCAAGCTGCCTCACCAAGAATCAATTGTTTTACGAGTACTTAAATAGAGAGAAAATAGTGTTATCAACTTTCAAGAATCGCCACTCAAGCCGAAAAATAACTTTCCATACATTTTCCTTGGCTCATACAGTTTCAAGTCAGAAAGATAATTATTTTTCTGTTGAAACTATTAAAGACGAAAATAAATTGGGCAATGTTTGATGTTTTTTTTTTTACTACTTCAAATAGCCCACAAGAGCTAATCCTGTGCTTTCAGTCCTGTCCCTCCTCTATTCCTACCGAATAACCAGTCCCAGACAATCATTGTTTGAAACCATCAAACTCAGGTCGCCTGGCCGGGAATCGAACCTGGGACCTCCCGATTATAGAGGTAGCGCTACAACCACTACACCATAGGAGGCTGACTGCAATTATGCTGATTTCAGTTTAATTTATCCAGGTCATATTCTCTCTACAGAAATACTATTATTTTGTGCACAAATGGACGTATAATCCAAGACTTGGAACCAAAGTAAGTTCTAAGACGCATGGGTAAATCTGTCCTTGAAAAATCTTTTTCAGTGGCACCAACTTCTTCTCAAATTGTTCAAGTCTGTGTTAGAGGCTTGCATTTAAGAGGAGTCCACCGTAGAAGCAGAGGGGGCTCCCAATCTTACAGCGTAACTAAAATTAGTAAATCCTGCGTTATACTTTACCTTGAGACATGTAGGCGCAAAGGGCAAAACGAAGGGCGTCAGTACCGCACTCTGGGATACCATTTGGATAATCCTGCTTCTGACCTTGCTTTGCTTTCTCCAATTCTTTCGGGTCCAAATTTCCCTCCAAAAGCTGAGCATGAAGTTGTTCAAGTGATATACCATGAATAACGCTGATTGGATCTATGACATTACCTAATGATTTGCTCATTTTACGACCATGCGCATCTCGGACGATTGGATGGAGGAAAATTTCTCTGCAACGACAAGCAAATTTATATAGTATGTTTATTTTGTGTGTACTCCCGGTAAAAGTGTAAAAAACAGAGCTTATGAAACTTGAAAAATTCCAAATTCCGAGTATTTTTCTGAAAACAAAGTTTATGGAACTTTAAAATTCTTCATTCCCCATATTTTTCTGATTTTTCAAAAAAAAACCTGTGGTTGTCTGAAGTTAAAGAGACAGAATTCAATATTAAAGTCACTAAAGCAGCTAATACTTGACATTTTCTTCTATTCTCACTGTAAAAAGTTAAGATTTCTAAGGGGGGTTATCGCTAATTTCCTTTGGTTCCCATAATTATTCGGTCAAATAAAAAGCCCTGAATATTCCAAATTTTCAGGATCCATGAGAAAATGAATAGATCTTATTTGTTCTCTAATTGAGAAATAAGTTATTCATACTGAAATCGATTCATGGCCAATAGTATAGTTTTTCCTAGCTATCGTCGATCAGTAGAGGGTCGCTCTACATCAGCCTGTGTCAAACTATCAAAACTAGCCATCAAAATATCAAGGTTAAGTGTTGTGATTGGCTTATTTGATGACTTGGATCAATCACAGCACTTGAAATTTTGATGGAGTATTTTGTAAGCGAGACACAGGCTATTATGTCTTGCAATTCCCTCTTCGGGAGATAGCAGTGAGAGGTCCGGTAAACTCATATTTTAAGAAAGTCTTTTCCCTTATCGTTCATAGTTCTTGCAATTCTCTAAACAAGGACCCATCGTATTTTGGCTTCAAACTGGGATTAAAACCCAATGTTGTTAATACGTAAGAGTCAGAATTATCCTTGAAATCTCTCGATTCAAAAAGAATTCAATGCTTGAAAACATACACCAGACAAAAAATTGAAGCGCTGAGAATAAAAAGCTGCAATCTCTAATCGGATGTTTAAAATTTGGCTGATGGTTTAATCTTCAAAAAGAGAAATCAATAAGACTTTGTGTATGAGATACTATGTAGAAAAACCTTGAGAAATTACGCACATAGAAACTCATTTTCTTCCTCTGCAATGAATTAAAACAATTGTCAAATTTTTAGACAGCGCAATAGAGATTGAAGCTTTTGATTTTGGGCGACTCAATTATCCATTCCATATCCCATTTTAAAAAAAGGACATTGTTCGCTTGTAAAACAGAGCATGCAACAATTTAGAAACTAATTATGCCTGATGCTTCAGATCTATTCCAAGAAATATTCACTGATGAGAAAACCTCAAGCTAGGCTAACAAGTTAAAAAAAAATAATTACGGTGACAGCTCCCGATACAGAAAAACCTTGAGAAATTACGCACATAGAAACTCATTTTCTTCCTCTGCAATGAATTAAAACAATTGTCCAATTTTTTGACAGCGCAATAGAGATTGAAGCTTTTGATTTTGGGCGACTCAATTATCCATTCCATATCCCATTTTAAAAAAAGGACATTGTTCGCTTGTAAAACAGAGCATGCATACAATTTAGAAACTAATTATGCCTGATGCTTCAGATCTATTCCAAGAAATATTCACTGATGAGAAAACCTCAAGCTAGGCTAACAAGTTAAAAAAAATAATTACGGTGACAGCTCCCGATACATATGTTTAAAATATATAACTTACTTGAAAGGCAATTTATTCAACAATCTTTGTCCAAAAAAGACCATTCTTGCGACCCAGAAGAAAATGATGTCATGCCCAGTTTCTAATAGGGTACCAGGGTAGAATGCATTCAGCTCTTCAGTCTAGAAATTTAAGAAAAATATTAAAACAAAAGTACTAAACATAAACAGGAACAATACGCTCAAAGTTTTTCGCAGAAGTGAATCAATTTGCAAATAAAGTACAAGGATAAAATCTGGACTAAATTTCCCGATAAAAAAATACTTCCATGCACCTATTGCATTGGGAAATAAATGGCATGTATTTCATTTCTAATGCGCCAGAGGTTGTGGTTCCTTATTTTGTAATGCAATCCACTTGATGTGTCATCCGTACTATTTAGATTGTGTGGATAGGTACACTGAAGAATGCGAACAGTAAATTCAAATTTAAAAATCCAATTGCATGGCAATCAATTGTTAGACTGTGTACAAAAGGGAACTGGGAGGAGTGCGTTTTGAGTCTGATACCAAGCTAGAAGAAGAATAGTTCAAATCATTCTATTTCAAGAAATAGATAAAAATAATTTAAAATTAAATGAAAAATACACATATTTTAAAATTATTACCAAAAATTCATTGATCTGCTGTACAAAATTTATATGATAGTCCTCTTAGAGATGCTGAAATTTTTTTTCTTCAAAAAATTTGCCCCTTTGACATGTAGTTTCCGAAGAAAGTGTTTCCACTTTCCTCCTTGTTTTAAGTATTCCATTGACATTCCCCATTGATTGCATTTTGTAGATGCATTCAAAAAGAAAAGTGCATCATTAAAGCTTTACAATATTTTTTTACACAAAAATAAGGAGGATGATGGTTTTGATAATGTTTGCTGAATTAATTTGAAAATCTAAGACAGCCTTATCTTACTTAGATATGTTCAATTGACCATACAAGCATTAAATATCTGTTTACAGCACAACTCAAGAAATCCGATCTGACAGGTTTCTATTGTCATTCAAAATAATTGTCTTGCAGAATATGCTTGCATTCAAGAGAGAAAACATTTATTGACAGACCTTTAATACAAGGCAAAAGGAGCTATCAGGTTGAAATTATTTCAGAGATACCTGTTCCGGCCAGCCAAATACAGAGAACGGGAATAAACCAGATGAAAACCAGGTGTCCAACACATCTTCATCTTGTTTCAAAACTAATTTTGATTCATCAACATTGAGTTTCTTGGCAGCCTTCTTCAAAGCGGTTGCTTCAGATCTTTCGCAAACCCATAAGTGATTCTCAAGTTCTTGAGGAGTCTTGCTTTTCTGAAAAGAATTTAAGAAAAAAAATGTCAGATTCATTCTTAAGTTTGTGACAATATTCATGGTAGTTGAATAAAGATCCAAAAAAAGATCAAAGAAAAACGATAGCAAAAGGAAAAATAAACATAAACGTATTCTAAATTTCCTAAATTGATTAAAAAACTTCAAATGACTGAAACTGATTCAAACAACTGATACTTGCGATACAAGGAAATTCTTTTTGCAAAATAATTTGTCGTATGGATAAAATTTTGCAAACAGGAAAATATGTGTAAAAGTAATGAACCCAATGGGATTCAATTTATGAGAATTAAAACATACCAAACTTCAAAATAAAAATTAAATTTTATTAAAATGCCCAATTTGCAGATGGCACAACTGTGTCAACTTGGACCTTTGACGTGTCCCAAAGTAATTGTCCTTTGGCCCCAAAAAGCTTTCCCTTGGACCAACTTTTTCACCTACTGCACCGTTTTTTGTGTCTTTTGAAAGTTTTCATTCTCCTGAGTTGATGTGTTTTCATTCTCACAGATTCAATTTTAAAACAGACTAAGTAATGGGCGCAGTTACAAGAATTCCAAATCAAAAAAATTAGTAACTCAAGTTGAATACTCCTAAAAACTTACAATGTCAGGGCGTTCCAAGAATGTAGGATCATTCACAGTGACGTGATAAGCAGGGATCCGATGACCCCACCAAAGCTGACGAGATACACACCAATCTCTGAAACAAAAATGAACGAATAAGTCTCTGTGTGAACAACAAAAAACAACCTACGAAATTAATCACAGATATTTAAAGCCGAGTTAATAGCCTCCAGGATTTTGTGAGGACATCTAATTAGCAAAACCGTGGAATTGAAGAGACTTGTAAAGGACTCCTCTGTACCTTCCCAAAAAAGTAAAGAGATTTGTGAGACTTACAAAACGTTTCTAGTAGAGGCATGAAAACTAAACATTTTCTGTTTACATCCTATTTTATTCTGTTTTTTCAGGAGATTATAAATTCTTGATAATACGAATATAATGACAGGGATATGGAACGGAACAATTTTTAGACAAAAGGACGATCCAGAGTACATTTTGATGAATAAGGAGCAGACAAATAATTTAAGACTTAATACCTGATATTTTCCATCCAATGGAACCATATTTTCTTGTGCTGTTCAGGGATAATTTTCAACTCTCCACTGTTCACTGCTTGCATTGCCTTCTTTGCCATTTCATCACACTTGACGTACCTACAAAAAATCAACGATGGATCATAAAAACTGTGTCATCTGATCATTTTATACGGAATTGTCGTTCAGGTACATCTTATCAATTTCTACTAAATGATCAAGTTCAATTATCAAAACAAAATTAGACAACATTTGGCACTTTGGAACTACATACAATTTCTAGCTCAATTTAGAGACAACTTATATACCATTAGTTTCCCTAAGTGCATAAGTGTTTTTAAGGATGAGCCAGAAACTGTAGTTCCTCAATACAAATTGAAGTCCAATTCTGCACAAACAGAAAGAAGAAGAAGAGGAAAAGTGGCACTGGCGAGGAAAATTAAATAGACTGCAATTTGAGACAACAATTTCTGGCCTAGTTTAAGAACAACGTATGCACTATTAGTTTCCCTATAGAAGTATAAGTTTTTACAAATGAACAAGAAATTGAGGGTTCCTGATTGCAAAATGTAGTCCAGATGATAGTCTGTAAACCAGTTAGCTGGTGAAAGCGGAGAGAAAACAACAAAAAATTTACTGGGGTGAGTTTCCAACTATTATTGATATGGAAATTTAGGGGTGATCTATCGTCTCATTGGCAAAAATCGGAGAACTGGATAAATTTTGTCTCAGTAAATTTACTATGAATTAACGTTTGAGAACTCTTTTTAACACATGTTAAAAAAAGATCCACCAAATTAAAAAACTTGCAAGTAATGGACCACTAAACAAGGTACAAATTTAAGCATTTTGATGTATGTTTCTTAACCGGAATTTCACGTAGAACACAATTCTGGAATCAAAAATTACTGAAATCAACTTCTAACTAAGATATTAACTTTTTAATTTTGGATTGACAACTGGAAATTTGAATTGCCCTGTCAAAAGAAACACAATACTCTTCGTGAGTCTAAACGCGCACTAAAACAGTTTTGACGGGCTTCTTAATCAAACATTGTTCATTTCTGACCATCAATTGGTCAAAAAGTAAACAATTCGCTACAGCTGAGCCAAAGCAACAAGACTTAGATTGCCATATTTTCGTATCGCAAAGACTGCAACTGTAACGTTTAGTTTTTGATTGGATGTAAATAGACCATTGTGTTTTCATGAGTAGGAGGTTTAAATTCACGCGGCAAGATACATTGAATACCTTGGTTAGGAGTCCATTTCACTAAGTATTGTTGCACAAATCGTGTTCTACGTTAAATTTTTCTTAAAAAACATGTATCAGAATGCTGAACATCGTACCTAGTCTGGTGGTCCATTCTTCAAGACCATTAATGTAGCACAAACAATTTTTAAATCTCAAAAATCTATTCAATTTTCACACAGCAGAAGGAAAAATATAATTCTGAAAAGATAGTGAACTAAGTATTACCATTGTGGTTTTGGCAGAGGTTCAACAACATCTTTAGATCTACTACAGATTGGAACGACCATAGGATTATTTTTAACTTCGACGAAAAGATTTTTTTCTTTCAACGCTTCTAATACAGCTTTCCTGGCATCAAATCTTTTCATCCCCTGAAAAAAAAAAATGTAGATTGAAAGTTAAGATAAGATAAAGAAGAAGAAACAATCCCGACTGACTGATATTACTTATGGGGGAAAAAAATATACATACAGAGTAAACATCAACGGCTGTATTTTCGTTAGTAAGAATATAATTCCTTCGAATCTAAAATTCTCATCAACACAGCCATCAGTTTTGTCTATTTTATTGATAAGAAAATTATCAAGTCAAATTAGCTCATGCATTACTTGTGGTGAAAACAATTGATGAGGACGGTCTTGTATTTCATTTGTGTTTACGCCTTCAATTGTTCATCATATAAAATACCATCTTGCAACAGTATACTTAAAATTCACTAAAAATCTACTAAACTCACCGTGAATTTTCCATAATCTCCGATGATGTAGCCCTCATCGCTTAAGATAGTAATGAATGGCAACTTGTGACGTAGCCCAACTTGATAATCGTTATGATCATGAGCTGGAGTAATTTTAACAGCTCCTGAAACAAGTAAAATCAATGAAGACATTTAATTTAAAAAGCTTCACTTTTACGGACACTACCACCAAGAATTTTGTGACTGTAAAAATTTTTGCAGTATTCTCACTCCATTGCAAGCCATGAATAAACTGCGCCCAAAAATTAAACCTTGAAAACTGAAAAGGGGGGATGTTAACAAAAAATATTCACTGAAAAATTGGTACAACCCTGATTTTTATAAGATACCTGCCCTGAGCAAAATTCCATGCATTATCATACAATTTTATGACCCCTAAAATTTTGGGATCCAATTAGTTCATGAGTACAACGATTTTATAGCGTTCAATGCAAGACAAATGATTATTGTAATTTAAAGAAAAAATAATAGATGCTAACATTATTACTTACCTGTTCCGAACTGCATATCAACAAAATCGTCAGCAATAATAGGTATTTTCCGATCACAGAAAGGATGTTTGACAGTTTTGCCTACAAGATGCTTATACCGGCTATCGTTAGGATGAACAGCTACTGCTGTATCCCCCAGCATTGTTTCAATACGCGTAGTAGCTACGGTCAATGTTTCATCACTATTTTCTACTTCGTACTTAAATAGGACCAAAACTCCAAATTCTACTTTATTTTCATAACCAGGAACAGGTAGAAAAGTTCTTTCGGTCAGTTCAATTTTGTCTACCTATTGAATTAAAAAAAGGGTTAAAACATCAAATTGAGAAGAAACTAATTAAACCTTAAGAAAGAACAATGAAATAATGATAGACGTTTACATTTTTCAATCGCATCTTGAGAATTTGTTTCCAAATACTGGACTTAGAGGTAAAAATGCAGAACTGATCTATTTTATAGGATTAAGATTGTGCATAGGACTATATATGAATTACCTCTGTGCGATAGTATTCAAAATGACTGTAAATTCTAAATTTTCCTCTGGGATAAACAGGAAACTATGCATCATAGATGCAATAAAAAAATACAATCAAGTCTTTCTTCAGTAGGAAAACTTTTTATACCTTTTTGGGGGCAATTTGCCTGTTACATTTGGTTCGCCAGATGAAATATACTAGATCCACATTACATTTTGAGTGAGATTTAAAAAGTGAGGGAAGGTTCCAATTTCAATGGATCATACTAGTAATAGTACATGTAAGCACATTTGATACAGTGCAATAAGCCCTTTAGTTAAGACAAAAAAATCTAGAGCAAACCTGATAAGACCTTAACAGCAATAATGTGGACATCATTTGGAATTATTTATGCTAAAAGGAACAATGTGCATAGGGTTTGCGTGCATGGCTTCTTTTGGCATAAATACGCCCATTTAGCCTAAAATCATAATTTTACGAATTTCTGGGGAAAAATTTGAATTCCCAAGTAAATTACCTGAAATGACACATTATAATGCTTCCTGTTCCACTGTTTGAAATTAAATATGAAAAAGCTATCTAACTCCTTCATTTTTCTCTCAGTTGCACAGTTTAACTGGTGCATTTTTTAAGTATTTCTTCAAAAGCTCCTGGGTGACTCAAAAGAATACAAAAAGAGCAAACAGTCTAGAGACAAAGAGAGAAAATTCAAAGGACCGTATTGTCACAGTTCCATAAATATAGATTTTCTTTGAAAAAGAACTTACCTCAATATCAGATATGGCTGATTTTAGAGTACAAGACCAATTGACAAGTCGATCACTCCTGTAAATGTCACCCTCATCGTACAGCCTGATAAATGCCTCGACTACTGCTCGGGATAATTTTGGATCCATTGTAAAGCTGGCTCTATCCCAGTCCAAAGAGGACCCGAGTCTCCGAAGCTGTAGGTAAATTCTATCCCCTTTCCTGGTTAAACGCAGAGAACAGAAATATTTAGAAGAGCGGATGAAATGTAAAAATACACACTCAAGTTTGGCTCAAAAACTACGCAGACTCAATTCAGTCTCCAATCAAATTGGATCAGTTTACAGAAATGCCAAGTATGCAACAAGAATGAGGCCTTGTCTCCACGGGCCGTTTCACGAGATTTGTCCGAGGGAAAAATCCCACTTACGAAGTTGGGAAAAATATTGAGTTAATCAATATTTTTCCCAGTACCAAGTATGGTCCTTTTACCCCTTGGACCTACTAAGAGAGGAAGAAGAAATGTAAACGAAGTATGCGATATTTTGTTGATTACTCCATTGTTCATGTTTGTTTAGTTAAAATAATGTGTCTAATAGTCAATTGAGTGCAATTATTATTTTAATCCCCGTTAAATACTCGACTTTAACTAAGTTATCTTCCCGCGCAAACTAGTCGCAGGACCGTATGAGCCTTGTTCCGTGGAGACGGTAACTGGGAAAAATACCAGAGGTTTCATTCCTGCGATTCGAACTTCGGACAAATCCCATGAAAACGTCCCGTGGAGACAAGGCATTGGCAGTTACTCCATAGCAAAATTAACTTAACATTAAGAATAGAAACTACATATGGTGTCCCAAAAGTACCGAGACTGGTTCTGTAACTTCGAAAGTTAGATAGATGCAGACATGATCTTGGTTTCATTTTGAAGATCAACTCAATACCTATCGATTAAGACCAAGATCAGCTTAATCGGATAAAAATTGACCAAGTTATGGCAATTTGAAATCAGTGAGGAAAGTTTACCCCTATGGTTTTTTAGGAAGATTTTTCGCTTACCAGGATTCAAAAAGTCAATATTCGTATCCGCTTTCCTCCGACTCTTCCATAACTTCCTTTTGCTTTTCAAAGTACCGTCCATCAAACCGGATGCACTTTTTCATGCGCTCTTGCCACTTATCCAACATTGTTTTCCTGAATTCTTCCTCTGGGATGACGTTGAAAAAGTTCTGAACTGCATTCTGGATTTCGGTCTTCGATTGGAATCTTCATCCGCGAAGCTCCTTTTTAAGCGTAGGAAACATCCAAAAATCACATGGAGCCAAGTCAGGGCTATAAGGGGGATGAGGGATTGTTCAAACTCCATTTTTACTCATAAATTCACGTGTTAAGTTCGATGTGTGAGGCCGCGCATTGTCTTGATGGAGTATCCACGAAGGTTTCAAGTCCGGCCGTTTCCGGGAGATGTGCATTCTCAACTCCTTTAGCACTTTGCAATAATGCGCACTGTCAACTGTTGTGTTTGGTGGTACAAAATGTTGAAAAATGAAACCTCGAAAATAAAAAAACACAATAAGCATCACTTTACAGGCCGATTTTTCGATTTACGGCGATGAAGAATCTTCCTTAAAAACCGTAGGGGTAAACTTTCCTCACTGATTTCAAATTGCCATAACTCGGTCAATTTTTATTCGATTGAGCTGATCTTGGTTTTAATGAATAGGTATTGAGTTGATCTTTAAAATGAGATCAAGGTCATGTCTGTATCTATCTTACTTTCGAAGTTACAGAACCAGTCCCAGTACTTTTGGGACACCCTATGTATGTGGTAATATTTTCAGATGCTTTTGGAAAAGTTCTCATGAGCTACAATTACTCTGTAGAAGTAGATCCGTACTAACTTAGATCCTTCATGTTTTCTTTTCAAATTTTTTCAAGGGGGGGAGGGGATTCTGGAAAAAATATGACCCTCTGTCAACAACATAGAAACTATAGATTGGTGGCGGCCTACGAAAAAACGTAACACACATGGAGCCGTCGTTCGATAGGCGTGCAGGGAGTGGAAATGGCCAATTGCTATCTTTGTCAAAACCTCAAATACATGGAATCTTACAGGAGTTTTTAGAATAAATTATTTAGCGTTGAAATTTTCATCGTAAACGCACTTGATGAATGGCTAAGTTCCAAATCTGGACACAGATTTTCAGACAGTTGGTTCTAAATTTGATATAAGTTCATATTCAGCAACAGTCCCATAAGAAGCCATGGGAACTGACTATCTTTGTCCTAACCTAATTGTTGTTCCTGGTGTGTTACGAATTTCACTGTTTGCGTAGCACAGGATCCCCCTATCTATAGTTTCTAGATCGTTGCCCTCTGTACACTTTATCAATGTGCCAAAAATCAGCCAATTGCAAGGCAGACACAGAATTTAGAAAATTAAATTTCCTGATATTTCCCTGACACATTTTGGTGAAATTCCCTGACAATAGAAGATATGCCAGATGGTTGGAAATACATATTTAAAAATAGTTTTCGGGCAAAATTTGTTGTTTGAAACATCAAACCGATTCAAGAAAGCAAATAAAGAGGACTTAAAAATTTTTCCCTGACATCGGCTATCCTCGTATTCCCTGACTGAGGCAACCCTGTCAAAGAGAAAAAATTTGATCTATGTCCACCTAAAAAATTGACATGCAAATTTGTACATCAAATAAATTGCCCAGGATTATCACATAGAGAATTTAAATTTTTTTCCTCCATGACTGGTGTCCGAGGAAAACAGAACTTACTCTCTCTTCCATTCCCAAACTTTTTCAACAAATTTTTCTCTTCCGATATCATGCCTTGTCTTCTTCTCTTCCCTCCAAAGCTTCTTTTCCACGACGACTTGAGTGGCTATACCAGCATGATCACAGCCTGGAACCCAAAGCGTAGTGCGACCTTTCATTCTATGCCTGAAAAAAGAAAAGTTTCCACCATGATTTAACTTCAATACATTTTGGGGGAGAAAAGTTTAATATGACACGTGTGAGGTTCCAATCATTGTTGAACCACTATCATTGAGTTGAATAAAATTTATCAGCAGCCCACTTCATGAATTATTTTCCCCAAACCAAAACAGACCATATGTATATACATGAAAATGGGCGTTTGTACATAACAAAAGTGCATGGTGATTCCAAACTTTGTGTGAAATCGTCAAGAGTATCCAGAGATATCTGTTATTGGAGTGAAAAAAAAACGGTCAATGGTAGGCTGTATTTGCATGAATACTTTGTTGTTGATCGGGTCCAGAATCTGAAGAGATCAATGTATGAAACAAAATTCTGTTGATATAGTAAAAAAGGTTAAAGCTGAATTACATACCATCTTGTGATAGCATCTTCTACAGCGTTAGTAAGAGCATGCCCCAGGTGTAGAGAGCCGGTTACGTTGGGTGGCGGTATCACCATGACAAATTGCCCTTTAGGATTAGGTTCTGAAATTGATTTCCGCTATGAGGAAAGAAAAAAAAAGGGTTCATGGTTACAAAACATCAAGACAGAGATAAATATTCACTTTATAAGGGCATTATGAGCCAACGTATAATCATTCTGAGAATTGAGAGAAAATAAAATTGTGGGTGGTCGGCATACTCAGACAGCCTTCCAAGAAAAGGTTTTCTGAAAAAGAAAAAAAATAAAAAAATAAAACTGTAAAAAAATTATGCATCTTTGGCTTACATTTTTATCACTTATTGTTATATATAGATGCAACATGCGGCTGGACAACTTTCCAAAAAAACTTTTCAATCACTTTTCATTTATCCCCACACATTAAATACTAACATTTTTTGGACGACCTACATTTCAGAATTTCTGTACTGCATAGAAATTTGACGCATTTGTAACAGTGGTACTTTTCGTCAAACATGACTATGAAAGTGAGCTGTCAGGCACCAGCATCTGATCTGGCCCCAAAGAACTAAAACTAGAAAACTTATGTACTTCTAAGACACTTTACAAAGCCTTTAAAACATAATTTGTAGACAAAAAGAACCATTATTGTTCATATTTGAACATTGTGATGAATATCTTTGTAACACCAATAATGAATTGTCAGGAGGTTATTGAAAATATACAACACCAAGGTGTTAAGAAAGTAAACTTTTTATTAGAGCCGAAGCTTTTCGATCTTTGTGATCATTATCAAGGCTACGGCAGTTAGACTGTATCAAGCAATAAGAAACTACAAAGTAAAATGAAGAATAGGATGCATAGTGGCAGGTGAAAAATCTAAAAAAAATTGTTTCAAATATTTGTTGTTCTAGATTTTTTACAGTCCCTAAGCATTCCATCTTCATTTGCATTTGCAATTTCTTATTGCTTGATGTAGTGTAACTTCCTTAGCCTTGATGATGATCACAAAGATCGAAAAGCTTTGGCTCTAATAAAAAGTTTACTTTCCTGACACCTTGGCATCATTTGTTTTACATAACCTCATAATAATTTAATTACTGTTCAGTCCAATATTCACCTGTCGCTTGCTAGCATCTGATGCTGGTAAAAATTCAGTGCACTGTCAGGGTTTGGTTTTTAACATTGTTATCAACGATTGCAGGCAAAAAGCCTCGGTAAAAGAGTAAGAGAAATTGAGCAGAATACATACATTATATTCGGGTTTGAAAAATCCTTCCTTCTCCCACCAGTTATACCAAGCTGCTTCAACATACTGAGGGCTGTAGGCGTCTGGCATTGGTCCTGACAAGTCCTTCTTTTCACCATCAGCTGTATTTCCAGAATAGACAGCTGCATCTTTCTTAACTTCCTTCTTCTTCTCTTTTTTCTGTAAAAATTAACAAGTTAGGAGTTTTGTGTCTAGGGAAAGGCGTCAGAGACGCTGTTAAGACCGATGAAATTAGCTCTTGTAAGGAGAGAAAATAACAGAAGGAAAAAAAAAAGAAAGAAAGAAAGAAAAAATATGAAAAAAGAGTAGGATATCTCTGCAATACAATTGCATAAGTTATTATTGCAATGATAGACATTTATAGACAAATTAAAAATTTAGAGACTATCCGACCATAAATGTGGGAATAATAAATAAATAAAGCAGAGAAAATTGAGAAAGAGACCGCCAAGTAGAACTTGAGACTTAAAAGAAAGAATACCATGCATTTTTTCTAGGGAACTAGGCATTCTTTATAGGTATATCATTCCATCGTTAGATTCTAAAGACATCTTAGAATCAATTTTTGGACACTTGCTATGGTTTAATTAAAATGAGCACTACCTATGTTTAAAAGGTCACCAATAGCTCTTAGCAAGTCTTAATGGAACAATCAAAACTACAAAAAAACTATAAGCAGAGATAGTAGACAAATAACGGTGAGCCTATGAAAAATTTTCTGGTTAACGCAAATACACTGGATCCAATTTACAAGTACTTGGTGCAGTCCTCAAGCAAGATCAAGAAAATTCATAGACTTATATTTCAATCTAGACCATGTGCTAGGCCTGACTTTGGGCAGGAGAGGGGTAACAGCAAAGGGGGTAAAGACGCCCCTTCACCTGAGTTAATACAGCCTGGTACATGAGTAGTACTTCGGGACGCCTATTGGGAGAGTGTGGCCGCGTGTCCGTTTAGCCATTCGATACCTCTGAGTCATCAAATTTTCTGATACTACATAAAAACGGGCTGCTTACCTATCGCCTTGCCAAAACATCATAATACGCAATCTAGATTGTATAATAAGTCGATGACAAAATGTGATCCTTGATAAAATGCTCCAGAGTCTAAAGCCGGAAAAAGCATCTTTTGAATAGGCAAAATTTCCAGTCCAGCAAAACCTACATCACACTAGCATTCAGTCAAGGGAATTTTAGTGAAATAACCATCTATCGATGAAATTTTGAGCTGATACTGCGTATTGCCATTTCCTAAAGCATTACTAACAGACCGTTTGGTGCGGCATGAATAATGCAAAGCAGGTATGATGTTGAGTTAAGTTTCCTCGAAGAGTAGTCAAATTTTCCGTCTAATTTTGGTCAGTTTACCTTGGAATGAGTCTGAGGAGATGTTTCAAAAAGAATGAAGCCTATTATGATGAAGAGAGAGAAAAAAATTATCTTCCATCATCCACGTGAACACACACAGTAAATACGGTAACGATACATACCTCGGCGGCAGGTTTTGGTTTCGTCTCGACATTCTGTTGTTTCAACTTGAATTTTTCGAGTTTGGCTTGCTTCTTCGCCTCTTTCTCTAGCTGCTTGGCAGTCTTAGGAGGTTCTGCTTGATTTTCTTCCATCCTAAACTTAAGAAAAAGTCCACGCAATACACGTAACCACGAGTGAAATTGTGCGAATCAGCGGAATGCAATATTGAGGTTAACTTTTTGTTTTGACGTTGACGTCATCAAGTCTGTAGAGGAGGAGGGGGAGAGTCAAGAACGTAAACAGACAAATGCCAACCCATTCATTATTGTGCAAAGACGTACAGGAATTATTCGGAGTCATTCACGTTATCACGTTCAGATTCATATTGAAAAAAGGGTAGAAAAATAGGTAAAACCAACATTTTTTGTATGAAAACACTTGACTCTGTCTGTAAATTTTAAAAATTATGGGTTATTATTACTGTCACCGTATGAATGGATCAAGTAGCAATAGTAAGAAAAAGGTTTGACAGTTGGCAATTATTGTCGACCAGTTCGTAGTCGACGTGTGATTCGTCGCCATTTTCATCCTTGTGTAAAGTGTAAAGTGAATAGTGATAGTAATTTATCTGGTGATAAGCCTTTTCGTCGCATCAGTCGTCGACGAACTTTCGGTCGGTGAAGCGAAGTTAGCAAGTGATTGATAATCTGGGTGGAAAACGCCTATTAGCGCCAGTCTACTCGAGAAACTTCTTCCCGAAAACACCGCGTCCTCAAGTCTTGAAATTCCGATCTTGAATTCCTTGCGGCATGTGTGTTTGTGCCTAGTGATTGTTAAGAATCCGGAAATAAGTGTGTTTGTTCGCTATGGCGTCGACCGTCAACGGCTTTAGTAAAGGATTGCCAGAAACCTTATCACGGATGAATTCCGACGAAAAAGCTGAGCTTCAAGAGCAGTTCACAGCGGTAAGCACAACTTCTCCTATGTATGCAACTCCATGCCAGACATCGCGAATCTACGTCATCGTTCCGAAAAGGAGGGAATTACTTTAAGGTTTTTCAATTTTAACAGAATTGCAAAGTTCTAGATAGCTCAGCAGATAATAAATCTAAGTCTCCCATCTCTGCACCTGCTTAATTTTTATTCAAAGTCACTGAAAATAAGTCTATACTTCCTGATTTTCTGTTAAATTTTTGGGACATTACATCTAGTAATACTAAGTCCTTGAGAGCACTTACCGCTCTTAGCAGTTGATTATGTAGTAAAGATGATCGCGTATGCACTCAATCCCTACAGGTTTTTACAGTGTTTGTGTGATCCAGCCAGCTGTTATCAGCATTGACGGCGTACATGGTTAAAAACAGGGCATAGTTCAGAGTGTGAGGCGATAGTAAAATTTATGTCAGTCTTCTATATTGAATTCCGCAGAGAAAAAAAAGGACCCTACTCCATGACAGGGGTACAAAACTTCCGCAATCTGGTCATGGTTACTGACTGTGTTAAGTGGGGAAAATGTAGGCAGCGCTACTTCTTTCAAATGAAACTCTTTAACACGTTATTCTTTCAGATGGAAATTGCTAAGCGCATTACCTAGTTTCTGCTAAGAAAACGGTAGATTGTATGTTTTATACAGATGGAAAGTGAAACGTCTATGTGGACAGAAATGTGAGGGCTCCCTCTGAAAATGTGGAGGCTACTTGCACACCTGGTCCATAGAGTCAAAATTTTCAGTGGAGCTGTATTTATCTAGTTTGCTAAAATAATTTAGAATTTCAGAATTGAACGGAAAACTGTCGTCAGTATCCAAGAAAATAAGTCATAAGATATCAAGTTCATTTTTATGCGCCTTCTAGGTGTAAAATTTCATTGAAATCACACAGCTTTGTATCTTGCACATTGCAGAGAATAATTTTTTCTAGCATTTCCTCAGAGTTACGATTTGTGAACCTCAATTTTCAAACCAACGTAGCCCCAGTCAGCTTTGATAGGTACTGTCCGACGTTTTTTTATCCCAGTATGTTCGTGAAACATTACTGTGCTGTGGGAAAACGCCACATGAGCATTCAAAGGTTGCCCGATTTCCTGGATTTAATATTTAATTTCCAGAAAATTGATGAGTATCTTCCCATGATTTTTTCAGATTCTTTCCTAAGACTAAACAAGAAAGAAACATTAAAAATTTCGTTGAAATTGTAAGGTTACAAAGTGATAGACTTCCAATAAATCTACCTTATCTGAACACTCTCCTCCTCTTAGTCTTGTATTGCTATTCATTAGTACTCAATTTTTTACTCCAATTTAAAATGTTTGAATTTTTGGGCCTTGTTTCCCCTGCAAAATAGTCTAGACCCAGCAATATTGTACCACCTTAAGATTAAATTTCGAATTAAATACTTACTCTAAAAAATTAGAAGTAGGATGCTCCCGAGTTTCCCTGAAATTCGTATTCTACCAAGGTAAAGTTGGCAACGTCTGAAAGATTAATTCGCGAATAAAATCCTCTGAGAAATTAGTAGAAAAATATTCATCAACAAAAACCATCTAATGAACGTGCCAGCGGGGGAAGGGTGCATGAGACGCGTTTACTCGTGTTGAACACATTTTTTGGGAAAGCCCTGGCAACAGCACTAGCAAAAGTTCACGGAACTTTACGCGATAGTTAAGTTTCGTAAACCTATCTCTGTGTGGCCAAGGCCTTCCATTCATGAGAAATGAACGAAACAATTATGAAAGAACAAACATAAATGTGGATTAACGATTTTAACTTCCGCCGCCGCGCCGTGCAGACCGCACCGTGTTTGGCGCAATGCGTGAGGTATTCACGCAGTCTTGTAGGCGCCTTGCATTTCACGCTGATCGCACTGTGTTTGCCGCAATGCGTGAAGTATTCATGCATTCTTGTAGGCGCTATCCGTTTCACGCTGACCGCAATGACCGCACTGTGTTTGATGCAATGCGTGAAGTATTCGTGCAGTCTTGTTGGCGCTAATATATGTTAAGTAAATGCCGATCGCCACGCCGAGGGTTTCTCCTTTTCATCTTAAATCCTCGTCATCATTTCTCTCTAAATCGCGCCGTTCCAGGCCAAATTGCGTGTTTGGTTTCTCTCTTAACTCGACTAATTGAAGGATGAAGGTGATGTCTCTTGTATCACTGAAAGACGACAAAATTAGAAATTACTATACTCTCTGGAAATGAGAGATTTTGTCGCCTTTTCTCGTTAGTAATTTTTTTTTCTAAATCCGATTTTTTTATACCTGCATTTTAAAAAATTGCAAAATGTGCTGCCCCCTATAGATTTGACGTCATGGGCCGCGGCATCCCCTTAATTCGGCCCTGGCCGGAGCCAAAACCGCATTCGTCAAGGTGAAGGCGACTCACCGTGGATCGAGTCAATAGGAAGATCGGACACAATTCGGAAACTTTAAACGCTCATAACTCCGTTCATACAAAACTTCGAGGTCCTGAAAGCGGTTCCGTTGGTTTCCTCGTAAAATTAACTGCCACATGCGCCCCTTAAATTTAAAATGCGACAAAATAAACATCATTTGCAGTTTTAGTCGAAAATGTCGTTCTAATTGACTCGATCCTCTGTGCGATTGTCACTTTATCTGAAGTGCTTCCTCCGTATCACTTCGACCGGCGGAAAGACCCCGCGGATCACACTGTCGTGCTAACGAAGAACGTCGCATGAGTCCTTCGACCGTTGCCATGTTTCCCTCAATAAAAATGTAATTCTCCGGAAAATTGTGAATATCTTTCCTCAAAATTTTCAGATGACGTTGCTCGTAATTTAACCTAAAATATCTGAAAATTTCGAGGAAAAATATGCGTAACTTTCCTGAAAAATACAGAGTTTATTCGAGAAAATTTGGCACCCTTGGATGTTCATACGGCGTTTTTCCCTAGCATGGCAGCATAGGCCAGAATTTCCCACTCGAAATTTTACTGATCCTCCCAACTGTGGGATTTACGATTTTCTTTCAGTCGCTTGGCAAACGTGAAACATGAACCAATATCGTTCTAATGCAGTGTTTCTATTCTGCCGTACTTAGGAAGTACGCCGTATGAGCCCTCAGGCGTTGCCAAACTTCCTTTGATTAAACACGAATTTCCTGGTTAACCTATGAATATTTTTCTCCCAATTTTTCAGATGATTTTGTTTGCAATTTCACCTAAAGCTCCTGAAAATTTCAAAGAGAAAAATTCATAAAATCCATTAACAATAAGCATTTTATCGAAGGAAATTTGGCAACCCTCGAATGTTCATACGGCGTTCCTCCGTAGCAAGGGAGTACTGAGGAAAAACGCTGTATGAGCCTCTAAACGTTGCCAAATTCCTCTCGATGAAATTAGAATTTTCTTGAAAAGTTGTGAATGTTCCTCCTCAAATTTTCCTCAGATTTTCGTTCGCAATTTAATCTGAATTCTGTAAAATATTTCAATGATAAATATTCATTACCCCCCCCCCCTCCGGTCTCAAATCAGGGTGTCTACAAGTCCGGAAAGTCCGGAAATAGTTCTGATTTTTTCAGGGCGGTCCGGAAGTACTGAAAAAGTGCGGAAATTCCGCATAAAGGTCCGGAATTTTTTTTTACATTTTTTGTCATTTTTGTCGCAATTTCAAATTTTTGAAATTTTTAATTTCGTCAAATAGAGGTATTGAAAAAGTACGGAATTTTTCTGTCGGAGGAGGTACTGAATTTCTTGATAAGGTACTGAAAAAGTACTGTAAAAGTACTTATTTTTGATCAGCCTGTTTCAGTAGACAGTGCGAATGTTATTGGAAAAAATTCATTGGAATTTTTTCAGAGATATTTTTGTTGGAATTTTTTTTCCGAGGGAATACGATCACAACATCTAAGAGTGACAATGAACTCGGAATTATCTTGATTGTCATCGGCGTTTGAGCTACGAGTGCAAAAATACGCCCCCGAACCACCGGGAGAGGATGGTGAGTCACGCGTCCAAGTTGATCGGACGTCAGCCTTGCGCTTATATTTATTGCACATATTCAGCGTTCTGGGCAGATCCGACGTCGAATAAGGATTAGGAAAATCGAATACATATTGTCTCGTGTCTCCGATTGAACAGTCAACACAAGCCGCTTCGCCTTTCAGCCGGTCTCCACCAACATCCGAGACTCGGACTGTTCCTCGCTGGATGTTGTTTTATTTACATAAAACGCGCCTCGCCGATCCGTAAACAGAAAAACGGCCGTGTCAGCAGAAGAACTCCCTCCTGTCGAGATGCTCTTCCGTGCTAGGGAAAAACGTCGTAAGAGCCTTCAGGCGGTGCCTAATTTCCCCTCGCAAATCACTAATTTTCGGGAAAATTGTTGAATATTTGTCAACCAATTTCTCAGATAATTTTGTTTGTGACGTGATCTAAAACGCCCTGGTAAAAATTGGCAGTAGAATCTGTGTTCCAAAATACCATAGACGTACGGCCGGCTGTAAGATTTCCAATAGCTTCTATAACTGGCTACACAATTTCTTATAGCCTTTTATAGCCGCTGGCGTTTAAGCAACTCACAGCCAGGCGATAAAGTGTATACTAAACGTCACTAATTACGGATGCTAGGACTTTGTGAGTTTTTAGACATTTGCTCTCTTTTTGGGCCGTAGTATCTTGATTTATTTTGCAAGGAAAGCTCCGTACTTTTGATGGATACCTGCCACCCCTATAATATGTATATTAGAGCGCCTTCAGTTTCGTATGATACTGTGCAATACCTCTGGTGTGAAATAGTTGCTTCAAGCGCCGTGGCACGCTGCGGTGCGGCAGGCGGGGAGCCAGCGCGAAAACGCGCATTGGCGTCTACAAACCTAACAGGGATACTCCACGCGTTGCGCAATGCGTGAAGTATCCCTGTTGGGTTTGTAGGCGCCAGTACGTCGCCGCTCCGCTTTGTGTTAGGCTCTAATATTTGATCTCGTGCAGTCAGCGTTTTTCAACTCATGAT